CGTACCTACTTGACACACTCAGGGTACATATCGTACCTACTTGACACACTCAGGGTACACATCGTACCCACTTGACACACTCATAGTAAACATCGTACCTACTTGACACAATGAGGGTACACATCGTACCTACTTGACACACTCAGGGTACACATCGTACCGTCTTGACACACTCATGCTACACATCGTACCTACTTGACACACTCAGGGTACACATCGTACCTACTTGCTAGGCCCACGCTGGACAGACAAAGGTAAAAAATCGTACCTACTGGCTAGGCCCTCGCTGGACAGACAAAGGTCAAAAATCGTACCTACTGACTAGGCCTTCGCTAGACAGACTCAGGGCAAAACTCAGTCCCACTTGCTAGGCCCTCGCTAGACAGACCCATGGAATAATTGACAGACTCAGTGAATACATTATACCTACTTGACAGACTCAGTGAACACATTACAACTACTTGTCAAACTCAGACAAAACATCTGACCTACTTCACAGAGTCAGGGAACACAACATACCTACTTGACATACTCAGCGAACACATCGTACCAACTTGTTTAACTCCGGGAATACGACGTAGCTACTAGTTAGTCCCAGTGAACACATTGCACCTACTTGACAGACTCCATCGTACCCGCTTTACAGAAACAGGGAACACATCTTACATAATTTTGAGATCCTCGCTGGACAGACCTAGGGAACACATTTTACCCAATTGCTGGATCCTCGCTGGGCAGACCTAGGGAACACATCTTACCTACTTGGCAGGCTCAGGGAACACATAGTTCCTACTTGACAGACTCCTGGAACACATCGCATATAAATGACACAGGGCCGGCGCTAAGGGATGGAGAAGTGGGTGACCGCCCAAGGCGGCTCGCTTTGCCGCATATATTTTCAATATACCTAAACCTACTAATAGTTCAAATCCACTTAACACAATATTTGGAAACTAAGCGAGTGAACAAATATCCGTTATGACGTACCTCATTATGATCAGCAAGGAACCTCCCCCCCCCCCACACTCATTTCCGTTATGACGTGCCCCCTTAAGATCAGCAAGGCCCCATTAGGATTATAACGTGTCTTAATTTCCCACCGGCGGCATATGTAACGTCAAAGGCCCCGTATTTGGAAACTAAGCGAGTGAACAAATATCCGTTATGACGTACCTCATTATGATCAGCAAGGAACCCCCCCCCCCCCCACACTCATTTCCGTTATGACGTGCCCCCTTAAGATCAGCAAGGCCCCATTAGGATTATAACGTGTCTTAATTTCCCACCGGCGGCATATGTAACGTCAAAGGCCCCGCAAAATTCTATGTGCCCAAGGCCCCGCACACCGATAGCGCCGGCTCTGCCTGACAGTCTCAGGGAACATAATAATATCGTTTCTACTTGATGGACCTGCCTGACAGCCTCAGGGAACATAATAATATCGTATGTACTTGATGGACCTGCCTGACAGCCTCAGGGAACATAATAATATCGAATCTACTTGATGGACCTGCCTGACAGCCTCAGGGAACATAATAATATCGTATCTACTTGATGGAGTTGCCAGACAGTGTCAGGGAACATAATAATATCGTATCTACTTGATGGACCTGCCTGACAGCCTCGGGGAACATAATAATATCGTATCTACTTGATGGACCTGCCTGACAGCCTCAGGGTACATAATAATATCGTATCTACTTGATGGACCGGCCTGACAGCCTCAGGGAACATAATAATATCGTATCTACTTGATGGACCTGCCTGACAGTCTCAAGGAACATAATAATATCGTATCTACTTGATGGACCTGCCTGACAGTCTCAGGGAACATAATAATATCGTATCTACTTGATGGACCTGCCTGACAGTCTCAGGGAACATAAAAATATTGTATCTACTTGATGGACCTGCCTGACAGTCTCAGGGAACATAATAATATCGTATCTACTTGATGGACCTGCCTGACAGCATCAGGGAACATAATAATATCGTATCTACTTGATGGACCTGCCTGACAGTCTCAGGGAACATAATAATATCGTATCTACTTGATGGACCTGCCTGACAGTCTCAGGGAACATAATAATATCGTATCTACTTGATGGACCTGCCTGACAGTCTCAGGGAACATAATAATATCGTATCTACTTGATGGACCTGCCTGACAGTCTCAGGGAACATAATAATATCGTATCTACTTGATGGACCTGCCTGACAGTCTCAGGGAACATAATAATATCGTATGTACTTGATGGACCTGCCAGACAGTCTCATGGAACATAATAAGATCGTACCTACTTGATGGACCTGCCTGACAGTCTCAAGGAACATAATAAGATCGTACCTACTTGATGGACCTGCCTGACAATCTCAAGGAACATAATAAGATCGTACCTACTTGATGGACCTGCCTGACAGTCTCAGGGAACATAATAATATCGTATCTACTTGATGGACCTGCCTGACAGTCTCAAGGAACATAATAATATCGTATGTACTTGATGGACCTGCCTGACAGTCTCAAGGAACATAATAAGATCGTACCTACTTGATGGACCTGCCTGACAGTCTCAAGGAACATAATAAGATCGTACCTACTTGATGGACCTGCCTGACAGTCTCAAGGAACATAATAAGATCGTACCTACTTGATGGACCTGCCTGACAGTCTCAAGGAACATAATAATATCGTATCTACTTGATGGACCCAGGGAAAAGTTCGCACCTGCGTGCTAAAACCTCGTACTGCAATAAAAGCCGGAAAATCACCTAAGGAATTTCGCGCCATAAATTTCGATCGTTTTAATTTAACACATTTTTAATATCAATAGCATAACAAATGAGATTGCTCTAATTATATCGATCTCTGATCAATATGGTTGAAATTAATAACTATGATTATTTTGTTTGGCCGTTTGGTATATTAAATATTCTTATATAAATTTAATATATTTATATTTTCGCCACGAGACTCCATGCCAAAATTAATAACTGATCATTGTGTATTGTCACTAGGCATATATATTAGCATCGGGGCTTCAAGCCAATAATAGTAAGTATATGAATTATTTTACAATAATTAATTGAACTATTTTAATTGAGAAAGCTTTTGAACAATGGTGGCGCTCTCAATGTTAGGAATAAACAATTGTCTTGTTATATTTTATTTTTAAGAACCATCTTCTGTCCACTTTATTGTCTCAATATGTTGTCTGAAATAGATTTGTAAGTCTATACTTATTAGGAAAGATTGATCGCTCCATTTTTCTGAAATGAAAAAAAAAAAAAAACAATTGCACCTTGATGTTCAATTTAAGAGTAGAGCCAAAAATTTATTCTGAGGAGCTAGCCCAGCACTACATTTTTTAGGAACCATCTTCGTTCCACTTTATTTTCTCAATATGTTGTCTGAAATAGATTTGTAAGTCTATACTTATTAGGAAAGATTGATCGCTCCATTTTTCTGAAATGAAAAAAAAAAAAAAAACAATTGCACCTTGATGTTCAATTTAAGAGTAGAGCCAAAAATTTATTCTGAGGAGCTAGCCCAGCACTACACATCTGCCTACCAAACCGTGTGTCTGCCCAGCGCTACACATCTGCCTACGAACCGCGTGTCTGCCTTGCGCTACACATCTGCCTACCAAACCGTGAGTGTGCCCAGCGCTACACATCTGCCTACCAAACTGTGAGTCCGCCCAGTGCAACACATCTGCCTACCAAACCATGTGTCTGCCTTGTGCTACACATGTCCCAACCAAACCGTGAGTGTGCCTAGCACTACACATCTGTCTACCAAACCGTGAGCGTGCCAAGCGCTACACATCTGCCTACCCAGCAATGATCATGCATCACATTGGCGTGCCAGTTTCTAGGACTTAACGCACAAGACACGCCGATAGTAAATCCCATCCAGAACTTACAGCTGGTAAGTCAACATCGATCACAGCCGTGAAAACTAACTGCTAGTAAGTCAACATCGATCACAGCCGTGACAACTTACTGCTGGTAAGTCAACATCGATCACAGCCGTGACAACTTACTGCTAGTAAGTCAACATCGATCACAGCCGTGACAACTTACTGCTAGTAAGTCAACATCCCTCACTCTCCTGAAAACTTACAGCTGGTAAGTCAACATCCATCCCAGCCGTGAGAACTTACAGCTAATAAGTCAACATACATCACTCTTCTGAAAACTTACAGCTATTAAGTCAACATCTATCCCAGCCATGCGAACTTACAGCTATTAAGTCAACATCTATCCCAGCCGTGAGAACTTACGAAATCTAGTAGAGGAGTCTTGGCGTAAACTGTTAAACTGACCTCAGATATTAATCGATCAAACCAGATTATTTCTTTTATATATGATATATATATTAATATGGAGATTGATACGATAGATTGTGACAGATCACATTAAATCTGTCTTACTAAAATGCAAAAGGCTGTGATGAGTAGATTATTACGAGAAGCTAACATCCCTTTATCATTAGAAACGAGATTGGGAAGTGTAAAACTTGAGTAACCCAATCTTATAAGTGTTTGACTTTTCCTACTTGCAACGATTCATTTCTATGAGCTGCAGTAAATTTAATGTAAAAATAGTTTTCTTTCATTCGAGAAAAATTTTTTGTAGACCTCTTTTGAACGGCACATTTGCAATTCATGTTTGTGATACATATAAGTGCATATGAGTACGTGCCTTATTGTTGATTTCAATCTAGACAAAAGCAGTCGATAACTCATACACGAGTTATACGCCAGCTTTAAGTAATCTCATCAACACATCTCCTCATGTCACTGACACTTTTGACTTTGAAGTAATTACTAAAAAAGTTTAAAAAACAAAATAAATTCCAACGCATCTGTTTCTTCCTCTTCCGCTTTTAATTTCTTTTCTTCTATTTTAAAATACATTTATTATTAATTAGTTTTGATTTACAGTCAATAAAATGCCGATATTAAATTTGTTGTTCTTCCCCCACCCCCCCACCACACACAAACTCTTTATTTCCTTTTTATTTGCTCCAGACTTCCAAAAAAGTTGATCTGACTCCTTCCCCAAAAAAGTTGATCCGACTCCTTCCCCGTAAAGTATTGGACCCGATTCCAGCATGGAGTGACATCCTTCATTTACCAAGTTCCATAAATCTTCGTCTTAAATTTTCCTCCTGCCATTCTCTCCGTCTATGTTGTTCTAATAAATACAAGTCAGCGATCGCTCTTAAATCATTAGTAATGCTCATCCTATTGCTGTACCCATCTGTCGGGTACCCGTCCTGTGTTGAACTTTGGACGTAGCCGAAGTATGGGTGGCGTCGGGGTGCTCCGTAGTAAAAGTCGTTTCCAGGGAAGGGCAGCTGGCGTCGGGGTGCTCCGTAGTAAAAGTCGTTTCCAGGGAAGGGCGGCTGGCGTCGTGGTGCTCGGTAGTAAAAGTCGTTTCCATGGAAGGGCGGCTGGCGTTGTGGTGCTTCGTAGTAATAGTCATACAGGAAGACATCATTGTCATCCAAACCAACATTCGGACGTGTCCACGGGTTGTATGGTTGCGGGATCCGATAAGCGTCGGTCATTGTGGACCACCAACAGCAGCAGGTGACCAACAGGACGACGACACAGTACTTGGGGTTGTTGGGTCGTGGTGACATCCTCTCTGAAACAGATGGATCAAGTTAGGCATTGATTCGATGAGAAACTCGCGAACACATGACTACACTCAGATTGGAGGCTTACTGCGGGGAGGATGGTGACGGTGGTGAGGCTGGGAAAGGGGGTGGGTGGTGAGGATGCGATATTGGGGAGGGTGAGAGGTTGGAGAGGGTAGGAGGATTGTGAGGCTGGTGAGGCTGGTGAGGCTGGGAAAGATCGGAGGGTGGTGAGGATTAGAGGTTGGGAGGGTTGGAATGTGTCAAGGGTAACAAAGAGGGGGGAGGGTGGTGAGGGTTGGAGGTTGGGGAGGGTGGGAGATTGTGGAGGGTGGTGAGGGTGGGAGATTGTGGAGGTTGGTGAGGTTGATGAGGATGAGGAGGGTGGTGAGGTTGAGTAGGGTGGTGAGGTTGATGAGGATGAGTAGGGTGGTGAATGTTGCGGCCGGAACCAAAAAAGTTAAATTTCGATTTAATTTTGGCTGTGGCCGAAACTGAAATGTTAACTTTCGGTTTATTTTCAATGTCGGCCGAAAGTGATTGGAACTTTCGGCCAACTGGGGTTTTCGGCCATCTACCAGAGGTAAGACTGTCTGTATGTCTCTAGGCATGCAATCCGCTATTCATTATTGCTCGACGTTTAGCACTGTAACTCTAATCTTCTACGATCTCAACAGTGGGAACAGCTATGTCACTGTAACACTCCCCTCCTACGATCTCAACAGTGTGAGCAGCTCTGTCACTGTAACACTTCCCTCCTACGATCTCAACTGTGGGAGCTGATGTGTCACTGTAACACTTCCCTCCTACGATCTCAACAGTGGGAGCAGCTCTGTCACTTGTAACACTTCCCTCCTACGATCTCAAAAGTAAACATTTAGTGAGCCCCCTGTTGCAAGACCACAACGTCGGACGCAGTTATAATTCAATAACTTAACACCTTTGATCAAATTATGTCTTGATAACAACGTTTCCAGTTATAGTGCTACATCCACTTCCCGTTCATGGAATAGTGCTACATCCACTTCACGTTCATGGACTAGTGCTACATCCACTTCACGTTCATGGAGTAGACCTACATCCACTTCACGTTCATGGAATAGTGCTACATCCACTTCATGTTCATGGAATAGTTCTACATCCTTTTCACGTCCATGGAATAGTGCTACATCTACTTCACTTTCATGGAATAGTGCTACATCCACTTCACGTTCTTAAAATAGTGCTACATCCACTTCACATTCATGGAATAGTGCTACATCCACTTCACGCTCATGGAATAGTGCTATATCTACTTCACGTTCATGGAATAGTGCTACATACACGTCGCTTTCATGGAATAGTGCTACACCGACTTCACGTTAATGGAACAGTGCTACATCTACTTCACGTTCATGGAATAGTGCTACATCCACTTCACGTTCATGAAATAGTGCTACACCGACTTCACGTTAATGGAACAGTGCTACATCTACTTCGCGTTAATGGAACAGTGCTACATCCACTTCACGTTCATGGAATAGTGCTACACCGACTTCACGTTAATGGAACAGTTCTTCATCGACTTTATGTTTATTGATTAGAGCTACATCCACTTCAAGTTCATATATGAATGCTACATACACTTCATCTGTGTGGAAGAGTGCTACAAGCAATTCACGTTGGTTGAATACTGTTCCATCAACTTCCCGTTCAAGGAGTAGTGCTACTTATACTTCAAGTTCATGGATTGGTGCTTCATACACTTTAAGTTCATAAAATAGTTTGGTGTCATTGTACTTTGTCATTTAGTTCTATGGTCACATGGTTTGTTTTTGGTTGCGCCCTAAGTCCTTCTCGTAATCCACAGATTTTCAATAGCTCGATCACGTTCATTACCAACACGGTAAATAACCGACCAACTGACCAAAGGTTCTAACGTATCAGATCCCAAAGCACGGTAAATAACCTACCAACTGACCAAAGGTTCTAACGTATCAGATCTCACAGCACGGTAAATAAACTACCAACTGACCAAGGTTCTAACGTACAAGATCCCACAAAACGGTAAATAACCTACCAACTGACAAAGGGTTCTAACGTACTAGATCCCACACCAAGGTAAATAACCTACCAACTGATAAAAGGTTCTAACGTACCAGATCCAACACCACGGTAAATAACCGACCAACTGACCAAAGGTTCTAACGTACCAGATCCCACAGCACTGTAAATAACCTACCAACTGACCAAAGGTTCTAACGTACCAGATCCCACAGCACGGTAAATAACCTACCAACTGACCAAAGGTTCTAACGTACCAGATCCGACAGCACGGTAAATAACCTACCAACTGACCAAAGGTTCTAACGTACCAGATCTCACAGCACGGTAAATAACCTACCAACTGACCAAAGGTTCTAACGTACCAGATCCCACAGCACGGTAAAAAACCTACCAACTGACCAAAGGTTCTAACGTACCAGATCCCACAGCACTGTAAATAACCTACCAACTGACCAAAGGTTCTAACGTACTAGATCCCACAGCACGGTAAATAACCGACCAACTGACCAAAGGTTCTAACGTACCAGATCCCACAGCACGGAAAATAACCTACCAACTGACCAGAGGTTCTAATGTACCAGATCTCGAAGCAGGGTAAATAACCGACCAACTGACCAAAGGTTCTAGCGTACCAGATCCCACAGCACGGTAAATAACCTACCAACTGACCAAAGGTTCTAACGTACTAGATCCCACAGCACGGTAAATAACCGACCAACTGACCAAAGGTTCTAACGTACCAGATCTCGAAACACGGTAAATAACCTACCAACTGACCAAAGGTTCTAACGTACCAGATCTCGAAGCAGGGTAAATAACCGACCAACTGACCAAAGGTTCTAACGTACCAGATCCCACAGCACGGTAAATAACCTACCAACTGACCAAAGGTTCTAACGTAACAGATCCAACAGCATGGTAACCGACCAACTGACCAAAGGGCTTAGCGTATTAGATCCCACAGCACGGTAACCGACCAACTGACCAAAGGTTCTAACGTATCAGATCCCGCAGCACGGAAACCGACCAACTGACCAAAGGTTCTAACGTATCAGATCTCACAGCACAGTAACCGACCAACTGACCAAAGGTTCTAGGTTATCAGATCCCACATCACGTAACCAACCAACTGACCAAAGGTTCTAACGTATCAGATCCCACGGCATGTTAACCGACCAACTGACCAAAGGTTCTAGCTTATCAGATCCCACTGCACGGTAACTGACGGTATTAGATTTCCCCGGGACGACTGTTACACTTCAGGTCTATGACCATTTAGTCGTTGGGAAAATTTAAGTACCTGAGATTTTGGATTAAGATTCTCTATGGGCTCAGGACTTATAAATAGGGATGGTAGAACTCAACCGGACAGGGAAGCGGACAGTCAGGGAGAGTTCAAGAGGACTGTCAGAGTTGAGTGCGAGATAGAGAGAAAGTATAAGCGAAGTAGCAGAAGTATAAGCCAAGTACAAGATTATTGAAGGAACAAGACTATAAACATCAAGTGTTATCGCCTGAGTTTGTCTCATTAGTGAATACCAGATATAGATTGAAGGTTTACCAAAGACGAAGCAAGGTTTCTCAACAATATATATTTGTAATGACCATAACAATAGAGAAGGTGGAAAGAATTCTTTCTCTACCTAGTGTTTGAAGTTTACTTCCGTAACGTCTCTAGTCCAGAGTGTGGTCTAGTAAAAATTAATGATTCTGCTCTAGGTATCCTAATACAAAAACTGATCCTGCTCTAGGTATCCTACGACAAAGACTGATGCTACTCTAAGTATCTTTACAAAGTCTGATTTTACTCTAAGTAGCTGATTTCATAGACTAATTCTACTCTATGGGTCATATCACAAATACTTACTCTACGTTATGTATCCTAAAAATTAAGTTCAATACTCGAAGGGTCGAGATTCAATCTCTTAGGACCCTGGAAACGATTTCTACGGCACGCTTCATTTGCTGGGCGCTACCGTAAAGGAGCTTATTTTGGCAGGTCTCCGGATTCCTACCGTCGGCCCCAATCCCACTACTCGGACACTTGACCACCAAGTGGGCTACTGTCTCCTCTTCTAGTCCACATAACCGGCACAAGTATTCCCTTCTGTTGTCGAGTCGGTGGAGATAACTGCGCGACGCAGTGCCCAGTTCTCATCTAAGTGATAAGGCTTTGTTCTCCCCGACTAAGTTCCCAACAGGGGTCGCCCTTGCTCGGACGCTGCATTTTCTGGTAAAGCTGTCGTCCAGTGGCCGCCATGTCCCACCTTGTGTGCCATTTGTCCTTGAAATGGTCTTTGATCCAAGCCGTGACTCCCAGCTGAGTCATCAGTTTGTCCGGTTGAGGTAGGGCCGAGCCTTCTTTGGCTAAGAAATCTGCCCTGAAAGGAAGCGACGCCTCCCAGTGCGAAGCGATAAACTGTAAGACTACCTTGGAGCCTTTCGCCTGATGGAGCTTACTGTCTCCAAAATGGCTGTGACCATTTTTGATCCCACCAATCTCAACTCCATGTGTTCGAGAGCTGAACGAGATTCGGTGAAGACCACTACGTCCGGAAAGGGTTTTCTTTTCGCTAGCCGTTGGTTGACCCTCTTAGGAGCTACCAGTATCGCCTCAATTTCCGCATCGAGGCGCGTTGCATTGCTTCCGCTTGGGCCAGATATCTCCTCGGGTGGGGCTATCTCTGCGGGATACTGGATGAGGGCACCATAGCCACTACGCTTTTCTCTCGCAAAGTACGAGCCGTCCGTGAAGACTTTAACCAGGCTGTTGGGGTAGGCTTCAATCGTGTTACGTACAGCCTCTGATGGTTCATGTTGAGGACTGTCTTTGTTGGCTTTGGTGGTAATCATGTCTAGTCGAATGTCTGGTCGGGATAGGCTTTTGTGAGGTCCCAGCGAGGGGATCACTTTCACTTTCTCACTGTTTCCGGGTATAATTACGTCTTCTTCAAGACTGTGCACCGTGTCCATGAAGGATGGTCTCTTCAATCTGGACTCTTTTACCCAATTGTCTTGCAGTTGGAGACATAGTTCTTCCCTTTCCATGCGCCGGTATCGTTCCACCGTCGTAAGGACTGCCTTCTCCCGCCTGACCTCAAGCGGCTCAACATTTGACATGACCTCCACAACTGCCGTTGGCGTGGTTCGTATTGCCCCGCATACAAACCTTAGAGCTCGGTTTTGGATGCGGTCAAGTTCCTCTAGAGCCGTTCGACTCGCGAAGGTTTGGACAGGCAAACTGTAGTCAATTGCCCCGCTCACACTGCTAAGATAGATTGATCTCAGTAGTCTGCCATCTGCGCCCCATCTAGTACAGGCCAACTTTTTCACCAGGCCCGGTTTTTGTGAAACTTTGCCGCACAGTTCGTGTACATGGTTGTGAGGTCGGAGTTTCTGGTCCAACTTCACACCCAAGTAGACTGGTGTCCTGTCCCATACCAGATCTTTTCCGTTTATGGAGGGTTTAACATCGACCTTAAGCGCCTTTCTTCCATTCGTGAACTTAGAGTAAACCGTCTTCTCGGTGTTCACAACCATTTTCGAATAAGCTTCGATGCTATGCAGATCATTTTGCAGCTGGTTCTGTAGATGGTTGATGTCCTTGCCAGAGGTACAAATGACTAAATCATCCGCAACATCGCGTTATCGGAAACTAAGCCTTATTGTAAGTCGTAAACGTACGCCAAGAACAAAGTGCAGCTGAGAGCGGATCCTTGGGGGGAGTCCGTCCTCCACAGCAAGCCACCTCGACAAACTATTGCCAACCCGCGTGGCAAAAGTCCTGTTCTTGAGAAAGTCCGTCACCCACGCGGACATTTGACAAGAGATCCCAAGTTTCTGGAACTTATACATGGGGCCTGCGCGCCACACGCGGTCGTACGCTTGCTTGAGGTCAAAGAAAACTGCAACCGATTGATTTTTTTCTTTTTAAGCTCATTGGTCATGGACTGAACAAGACGGATCACCTGGTCCATGGGTTGACGACCCATACGGAAGCCACCTTGCGTCGTTGGCAGGCACTTGTTACTCTCCAAAAACCAGTAGAGTCACCCATTTACCATTCGCTCGGCCACTTTTCCCACACAAGACGTCAACGATATCGGCCTGAAACTACTCGGTAAATAGCCTGGTTTACCTTCCTTTGGTATGGGAACCACTATGGCCTGCTTCCACACTTTCGGTAAAATACCTATAGTCCAAGTACGGTTTATGAGAGCAAGCAGAAATTCTCTCTCCTGTTTACCAAGACGGGTTAACATTTCATTGTGAACTTTATCAGGACCTGGTGCTTTCGCCGCCAAGCACTTATCAAGCGCACTACGCAATTCCTCCATTGTGAAGGGGGTTGTGAAAATCTCAGCGTGGGGTCCAGTACGCTGGATACGAGCTCCCCTTTTCCTAAGACGGTTGATCTCTCGATGCTCTAGAGTCTATTTTGCCTTCTTGTTGACTTTGGCGAAGTGAACGTTGAGTATATGTGCGCTTTTTTGCGTCGCTCGCCTCGACGCCTTTGTCTGATAGTAATGGCTGCGGGTTTTTGGCCTTTCCCGCACCAGAGAGGCTTTCGAGCAGAATCCACACCTTCCGGCGGTCCTGGAAATCGAGTTTTTTACATGCACTTACCCACTTTGATGTGTTCGCCTTCTGAACAGCTTGCCCGGACTTCAGCCGTAAGTTGATTGTAGTCTGCACGAGCAGCAGGTGTTTTCTTTCTTGCGGCTTCTTTCCGAGCTTTTGCTCTTTGCTTCACGAGTTTCCCAAGCTCTTTGTTTCACGAGTTTCCCAAGCTCTTTGTTTCACGAGTTTCCCAAGCTCTTTGTTTCACGAGTTTCCCAAGCTCTTTGTTTCACGAGTTTCCCAAGCTCTTTGTTTCACGAGTTTCCCAAGCTCTTTGTTCCAAAAGGGCTTGTACAGTCGCTTCCCGATCGTTCTTGGGATTGTCGTACGGGCGATCTCGAGGATTGTGACATTAAACTTCTTGAAAGCAACATCTAAGTCTGAGTCGGCCACGTCAACTGCTATTAGTCCGAGCATGATCTCGCACTGACTTTCAAAATTTCCTCAGTTGGCCCTCAGGAAGAGCCAATGGCGTTTATCGCACTTGGTTTTGGCCTGACCTAAGTCAATCTCCAGTAAAAGGGGAAGCTGTTCACTCCCGATTTCCTCCAGTACTTTAAGATTCTGATGTCCCGCGAGATTAGCGGACACGACCGTCAGATCTGGCCTTGATTCCGTTCAGTGGCCGTAGTGAAGAAGTCTGGGCGCACTCTTTCGTCCTTGGTCTGATAAGATTGATCTCAAGGCAGACCTCTTCCACGAGTTTACCGGAGACGTTCCTCTCAGGATAACCCCCACATTTGGGGATTTGGCATTAAAATCTCCTGCAATAATAGTCTGTTTAAAGATCGTCTCCCCGTGGGTGGGGATCGTGATCACATTGCTCGGAGAGTTGTAAATGTTCTTCACGGCCAACGTTTTCCCACATTTAGAGACTTTAACCGACAGCGTGTCAGTGTTTGCGTAACGGTTGGACTCACTTACCTCCACCGCGAGGTCATTTCTAGCCGCTGTGGTAATGCCTTGGCAGCGATCACACTTACAATGGTAGAGTGAGTAACCAGTAATGTTAAATGGCTTGCCGTGGAGCAACGTTTCTTGGAAGTGCCCTAGTCCACATTGAGTTCGTGGACTGATTTAGTTACGTCGTGTGATTTCTGCCTGATACCACACAAACTCAACTAGAGAACAACCAGAGAATGTTTAAGGTGTCCCGTACCACCTTTATGCCCATGGTCTCCAACAGTAACTTGTTGGCCTAACGCGCGCCTGTCAAGCATCACACGCGCGAGAGGAGACGCCTTCCCCATGGGGACATCCGTGGGGAGGGGATGCACGCACCACATCTGTGTCCGCACTCAGTCCCAACCAGCCTCCCAGCAGTGGGAATCGAGGGCGTTTCGAGGAAGCCACGGTCGGCGAGGAAGGATCTTGTCAAAACACCGCCAGTAAAACCTGCGTAAATGAATGATTCGTTTCCATGAGTAATATTGGTTTTGTGCAGAAGTCTTCCCCTCATTGAGGGAGGAGGTTTTACGTCGCCTCCCCTCTTGCCCAGTGAGGCTTTCGGTCAGGACGCACGAGCAGTTTGTGATCTTTGGCTTCGGGATATGAATCCGTACTAGTCTTCCGCGCCGCGTAGAGGCAGATCATGAGTGACATCGCCGCAAGCCTTGGCGATGTGACTTTCCCAACTTGGAGCTAGTCGGGAAAAGTCGACGTATGTATCATACTAAAAAGTCTGACTCTACTCTAAGTATTCCATTATAAAGACTTATTCCACTCTATGGATCCTATTACAAAGTCTGATTCTACACTGACTCCAAAGACGGGTTCGACTCAACAAGTAATACTCACCAACTTGCTGTTAGCGCTTCACTTGTGTAGACTTTCTGGTTGAATACTTGTGAAGATTTTACAGACTATTTATAAGTCAACAGACAATATGTTCTATTAAGTCGGTCGATCTAATCAATAAGACATTAAAAAAATCTCCCAGTTAATGTCTATATTTCATTGTCTCATTTTTAAGTATCGTATTGTTCAAACTGCACGGGAACCATTTGTTGGTACTTAGAGCAATTCAAATGTGTTTCTGTAAAATTCAATCTAATTGGATAGGTCTTACACTATTGTTGACTCCAACTAACAAACCGCTGACGAAGCAGTGCTAAAAATCCCCCATCACGCTAAGATGTTTGGCCAACACCAAAGTCGTTTGTTTAAACAATGACATAGCTGTATACGAGTGGACGTAGTAGAAGCTTAGGGAATAGTTTTTGATGTTCACTATACGCCACCTCCACAAACCACTCCCCCCTCCACAAACCACTTCCCCCTCCACAAAACACTCCCCACTCCCACTTCCCCCTTCCAAACCCAGCAGTTAAAAATTGATTTAAAATATTTCATGGCATATCAGAGGGTAAAATTTTGAAAACTGATCATGTCAATGTAGTGTTGTATCCCATGTGAAGTGTTGTTGTTGTTGTTGTACTCATGTTGTTGATGTCGTGCTCTGCTTGCTTGTTGTTGTTGTTGTTGTTGTTGTACTCATGTTGTGGGGTCATGCTCTGCTTGCTTGTTGTTGTTGTTGTTGTTGTTGTTGTACTCATGTTGTGGGGTCATGCTCTGCTTGTAGTGTTGTTGTTGTACTCAAGTTGCTTATGTCATGCTCTGCTTGTAGTGTTATTGTTGTTGTTGTACTCATGTTGTTGATGTCGTGCTCTGCTTGCTTGTTGTTGTTGTTGTTGTTGTTGTTGTACTCATGTTGTGGGGTCATGCTCTGCTTGTAGTGTTGTTGTTGTACTCAAGTTGCTTATGTCATGCTCTGCTTGTAGTGTTATTGTTGTACTCAAGTTGCTTATGTCATGCTCTGCTTGTAGTGTTGTTGTTGTACTCAAGTTGCTTATGTCATGCTCTGCTTGTAGTGTTGTTGTTGTACTCAAGTTGCTTATGTCATGCTCTGTTTGTAGAGTTATTGTTGTACTCAAGTTGCTTATGTCATGCTCTGCTTGTAGTGTTGTTGTACTCAAGTTGCTTATGTCATGCTCTGCTTGTATTGTTATTGTTGTACTCAAGTTGCTTATGTCATGCTCTGCTTGTAGTGTTATTGTTGTACTCAAGTTGCTTATGTCATGCTCTGCTTGTAATGTTGTTGTAGTACTCAAGTTGCTTATGTCATGCTCTGCTTGTTGTGTTGTTGTTGTTGTTGTACTCATGTTGTTGATGTCGTGCTCTGCTTGTAGTGTTATTGTTGTTGTTGTACTCATGTTGTTGATGTCATGCTCTGCTTGTAGTGTTATTGTTGTTGTTGCACTCAAGTTGCTTATGTCATGCTCTGCTTGTAGTGTTATTGTTGTTGTTGTACTCATGTTGTTGATGTCGTGCTCTGCTTGTAGTGTTGTTGTTGTTGTTGTACTCAAGTTGCTTATGTCATGCTCTGCTTGTAGTGTTATTGTTGTTGTTGTACTCATGTTGTTGATGTCTTGCTCTGCTTGTAGTGTTATTGTTGTTGTTGTACTCATGTTGTTGATGTCATGCTCTGCTTGTAGTGTTATTGTTGTTGTTGTACTCATGTTGTTGATGTCATGCTCTGCTTGTAGTGTTATTGTTGTTGTTGTACTCATGTTGTTGATGTCATGCTCTGCTTGTAGTGTTATTGTTGTTGTTGTACTCATGTTGTTGATGTCATGCTCTGCTTGTAGTGTTATTGTTGTTGTTGTACTCATGTTGTTGATGTCATGCTCTGCTTGTAGTGTTATTGTTGTTGTTGTACTCATGTTGTTGATGTCATGCTCTGCTTGTAGTGTTATTGTTGTTGTTGTACTCATGTTGTTGATGTCATGCTCTGCTTGTAGTGTTATTGTTGTTGTTGTACTCATGTTGTTGATGTCATGCTCTGCTTGTAGTGTTATTGTTGTTGTTGTACTCATGTTGTTGATGTCATGCTCTGCTTGTAGTGTTATTGTTGTTGTTGTACTCATGTTGTTGATGTCATGCTCTGCTTGTAGTGTTATTGTTGTTGTTGTACTCATGTTGTTGATGTCATGCTCTGCTTGTAGTGTTATTGTTGTTGTTGTACTCATGTTGTTGATGTCATGCTCTGCTTGTAGTGTTATTGTTGTTGTTGTACTCATGTTGTTGATGTCATGCTCTGCTTGTAGTGTTATTGTTGTTGTTGTACTCATGTTGTTGATGTCTTGCTCTGCTTGTAGTGTTGTTGTTGTACTCAAGTTGCTTATGTCATGCTCTGCTTGTAGTGTTGTTGTTGTACTCAACTTGCTTATGTCATGCTCTGCTTGTAGTGTTATTGTTGTTGTTGTACTCATGTTGTTGATGTCATGCTCTGCTTGTAGTGTTATAGTTGTTGTTGTACTCATGTTGTTGATGTCTTGCTCTGCTTGTAGTGTTATTGTTGTTGTTGTACTCAAGTTGCTTATGTCATGCTCTGCTTGTAGTGTTATTGTTGTTGTTGCACTCATGTTGTTGATGTCATGCTCTGCTTGTAGTGTTATTGTTGTTGTTGTACTCACGTTGCTTATGTCATGCTCTGCTTGTAGTGTTATTGTTGTTGTTGTACACATGTTGTTGATGTCGTGCTCTGCTTGTACTGTTGTTGTTGTACTCATGTTGTTGATGTCATGCTCTGCTTGTAGTGTTATTGTTGTTGTTGTACTCATGTTGTTGATGTCATGTTCTGCTTGTAGTGTTATTGTGGTTGTTGTACTCATGGTGTTGATGTCATGCTCTGCTTGTAGTGTTATTGTTGTTGTTGTATTCATGTTGTTGATGTCATGCTCTGCTTGTAGTGTTATTGTTGTTGTTGTACTCATGTTGTTGATGTCGTGCTCTGCTTGTAGTGTTGTTGTTGTACTCATGTTGTTGATGTCATGCTCTGCTTGTAGTGTTGTTGTTGTTGTTTTACTCATGTTGTTGAGGTCATGCTCTGCTTGTAGTGTTGTTGTTGTTGTTGCACTCATGTTGTTGATGTCATGCTCTGCTTGTAGTGTTGTTGTTGTTGTTTTACTCATGTTGTTGAGGTCATGCTCTGCTTGTAGTGTTATTGTTGTTGTTGTACTCATGTTGTTGATGTCATGCTCTGCTTGTAGTGTTATTGTTTTTGTTGTACTCATGTTGTTGATGTCATGCTCTGCTTGTAGTGTTATTGTTGTTGTTGTACTCATGTTGTTGATGTCACGCTCTGCTTGTAAAGTTGTTGTTGTTGTTGTATTCATGTTGTTGATGTCATGCTCTGCTTGTAGTGTTATTGTTGTTGTTGTACTCATGTTGTTGATGTCATGCTCTGCTTGTAGTGTTATTGTTGTTGTTGTACTCATGTTGTTGATGTCATGCTCTGCTTGTAGTGTTATTGTTGTTGTTGTACTCATGTTGTTGATGTCATGCTCTGCTTGTAGTGTTATTGTTGTTGTTGTACTCATGTTGTTGATGTCATGCTCTGCTTGTAGTGTTATTGTTGTTGTTGTACTCATGTTGTTGATGTCATGCTCTGCTTGTAGTGTTATTGTTGTTGTTGTACTCATGTTGTTGATGTCATGCTCTGCTTGTAGTGTTATTGTTGTTGTTGTACTCATGTTGTTGATGTCATGCTCTGCTTGTAGTGTTATTGTTGTTGTTGTACTCATGTTGTTGATGTCATGCTCTGCTTGTAGTGTTATTGTTGTTGTTGTACTCATGTTGTTGATGTCATGCTCTGCTTGTAGTGTTATTGTTGTTGTTGTACTCATGTTGTTGATGTCATGCTCTGCTTGTAGTGTTATTGTTGTTGTTGTACTCATGTTGTTGATGTCATGCTCTGCTTGTAGTGTTATTGTTGTTGTTGTACTCATGTTGTTGATGTCATGCTCTGCTTGTAGTGTTATTGTTGTTGTTGTACTCATGTTGTTGATGTCATGCTCTGCTTGTAGTGTTATTGTTGTTGTTGTACTCATGTTGTTGATGTCATGCTCTGCTTGTAGTGTTATTGTTGTTGTTGTACTCATGTTGTTGATGTCATGCTCTGCTTGTAGTGTTATTGTTGTTGTTGTACTCATGTTGTTGATGTCATGCTCTGCTTGTAGTGTTATTGTTGTTGTTGTACTCATGTTGTTGATGTCATGCTCTGCTTGTAGTGTTATTGTTGTTGTTGTACTCATGTTGTTGATGTCATGCTCTGCTTGTAGTGTTATTGTTGTTGTTGTACTCATGTTGTTGATGTCTTGCTCTGCTTGTAGTGTTATTGTTGTTGTTGTACTCATGTTGTTGATGTCATGCTCTGCTTGTAGTGTTATTGTTGTTGTTGTACTCATGTTATTGATGTCTTGCTCTGCTTGTAGTGTTATTGTTGTTGTTGTACTCATGTTGTTGATGTCGTGCTCTGCTTGTAGTGTTATTGTTGTTGTTGTACTCATGTTGTTGATGTCGTGCTCTGCTTGTAGTGTTGTTGTTGTACTCATGTTGTTGATGTCATGCTCTGGTTGTAGTGTTGTTGTTGTTGTTGTACTCATATTGTTGATGTCGTGCTCTGCTTGTAGTGTTATTGTTGTTGTTGTACTCAAGTTGCTTATGTCATGCTCTGCTTGTAGTGTTATTGTTGTTGTTGTACTCATGTTGTTGATGTCGTGCTCTGCTTGTAGTGTTGTTGTTGTTGTTGTACTCATGTTGTTGATGTCGTGCTCTGCTTGTAGTGTTATTGTTGTTGTTGTACTCATGTTGTTGATGTCATGCTCTGCTTGTAGTGTTATTGTTGTTGTTGTACTCATGTTGTTGATGTCATGCTCTGCTTGTAGTGTTATTGTTGTTGTTGTACTCATGTTGTTGATGTCATGCTCTGCTTGTAGTGTTATTGTTGTTGTTGTACTCATGTTGTTGATGTCATGCTCTGCTTGTAGTGTTATTGTTGTTGTTGTACTCATGTTGTTG